GTATCTGTGTATCTGTGTGTATTTGTCACAATTGTGCCGCCCGCACCCAAAGCCGACAAGAATCCGTCAACCCGTCCTAAGCGCATTACGACAATGAATGCTAGTAGCAGGAGAAGAAGAAGAAGAAGACGAAGAAGAAGAAGAAGAATGCGAATGAGACGATTCAGCATTCATTCATAAAAAATCTGAGAAGATCTTTGTGCCGTTTTTATTATGTCAGGCGGATGAGTTCGTTTACCTCGGTGTGCAAACACACACACACACACACACAGTGACAAATAAGATGCAGCTACAGATGCCGCCCGCCTCCAGCCTCCTCTCTCGCATATCGATGCTGCTTGCGGATGAGGCTCGTAAAAATCATCATCTGGCCACTTTTTGCATAGCCGTAAATCTTTGACGGCATCAGATGGTCGACTTGGTCGCACGGGAGCCACTGCATCCATCACACATCAAAGTGGCGCCCCCACATGCGACCACATGAAACGCAGCTGTCGAACATTGTTGCCACGCTCAGCCGCCCAGCCGCCCAGCCGAAACAGAGCAGCCAATTGAGAGACAAATTGCCGGCGACTCAAGCAGCTCACTTAATTTGAGATCATTAATCAATGCATCTATCTGTGATTCATTTTCAGCCTCATTTGTGTCCCACTGCATGTCTGTCACGATTCCTAAGTGCTCCACTACAGCAAATAGCCATTTGAGCTACAGATAATACATGTTGTATATCACATTTGTAATACTGTTTTATGAGCTGAAAGATCATTTCACTAGATTCTGGAGAATCTGCAACTTGCATCAAGATCACAAACTGTTAAGCCTTAAATTATCTTATAGAGTAGATATAGATATATGTTCTATGAGAGTACATTTCTCTCAGTTTTTTAGCTCGCACTCTCTCTTCTTTCCCTTTCTCTTTCACTGCTGATCTGTAAATTGTAAAAGAGACAGAGCAAGAAAGATAGAGGCAGAGGGTGATAAAAAGAGGTAGAGAGGGATAGAGTGACAGAGAAAGAGGGAATATGCGATAAAGCATGAGATTGACCATTTGAATAGGATGCTTCCCATTCTTTCCCTCTCCCCCTCTGTAACTCTTTCTCCAATCTTCACTTCTTTCTTTTTCCACCACTATCCCTTCCCCCTCTATCTCTCTCTCTCTGTCATTCGCTCTTACGCACTCTCCATTGCCCTCTCTCTCTCTCTCTCGTTCTCTCTTTCTCTCGCTCTCTCCCTTTCCCTCTCTCTCTCTCTCTCTCTCTGTGTCATTCGCTCATACGCACTCTTCATTGCTCTCTCTCTCTCTCTCTCTCTGTCATTCGCTCATACGCACTCTTCATTGCTCTCTCTCTCCCTCTCTCTCTCTCACTCTACAATTTCCTCGCTCTCTCTAATCATCTCTCTTTCATCTCTCCTCTTTCTCCATCCTTCATTTTTCTGCCACTGTCTCTTTCTCCCTCCTATTCTTAGTCTCTTTCTCCACAATTCTGTTTCATTCCTTTTTCTGCCATTGTCTCATTCTCTTGTAACTCTTTATATTTTCACTCTTTCCTCAGCGCTTTCTCTCACTACCCCTCTCTCTCTCTTTCTCTCTTTCTCTCACTCTACAATTTCCTCGCTCTCTCTCATCATCTCTCTTTCATCTCTCCTCTTTCTCCATCCTTCATTTTTCTGCCACTGTCTCTTTCTCCCTCCTATTCTTAGTCTCTTTCTCCACAACTCTGTTTCATTCCTTTTTCTGCCATTGTCTCATTCTCTCGTAACTCCTTATATTCCCACTCAATGTCTCTCTACCGTTCGCTCTTTCTTCAATTTTTCTGTCACTGCCTCTCTTTTACACTCCCATCTATTTCTATCTCCCAGTCTCTTTCTCCCCTACCCTATATCGCTCTACTTTCACTCTTTCTCTCAATTTTCTGTCATTGTCGCCCTCTCTCTCTCTCTCTCTCTCTCTTTCTCCCATTCTCTCTATCTCTTTCTCCTCCACTCTATGACTCTCTCCAGCTCTCTCTCTTTTTCTCTTTCTATGCTATTGTTCCATTTACCACCCGTTCCACTAGACTAGTCCATATACTTACTATAAAACATTTTCGTATTTCGAATTCACTCAAAGTTTATAGAGCGAGCTTAGAAACCAGCTAAACGAAACTTGAAATCGAATCTTTAGCTTCGTCTATTCCAATTCAAGGCATTTCGGCCAAAACTAGTAAATAGTTGACCAAAAAAGGTGAGTTTGGACCAAGTGGTAGATCGGGTTAAGGCGCGTCGAGTGAGGCAATCACGTAATACTAAACTAATTTCGTTACACCTGCCAAGCTTCCAGAATCAAAGCGAAGCGTGGACGTCGCCAGCTGGTGTCAGGTGTCATCGCTTACCTGCGCTGCTTGGATGCATTGAAAGCCCAGCTGTTGCCAGAGATCAGCATTAGAAGGAGAGAAGCGGAGGAGGAATGAGCCATTAATAACTGCGCTAACTGCTTCATAGGTAAATGCATAATATTTTATTGAATTTTTGACAGCGCTCATTAGTTTGTTACGGCCCGGCGAGGATGGCCGGAACAAGTTGTTGTGCATGTGTGCGTGTGTGTGTGTGTTGGCTGTTGGCTGTTGGCCAACTGTGAGCCGAGTGAGCGATAAAGATAAAGGTCAACATCCGCTTGCCCCACTCCGTGTGCCACGACGCGTTGCATGTGGATTGAACGGCGATTGAACTTGTGCGCGGCTCAATGGCAATTTGTGATCATTAAAATGGTTCCGCTGGCCAAAGCTGAAGGCGCTGGCACTCGAAACGTTTACACGACGCTCTCCAGACACTAACCGAAAGTGTCATTGGGCTTAGCCCGGGCCAAGTTGGCCCAAGGGAGTTCGACAACAACAACAGCAACAACAACAGCAACGACAACATGTGGGAAATGAGCAATAAAAACGCAGCCAGGAAATCGAAAGACAATAGAATTGCGGCGACCGGGCAACGTAATTGTTGGCGTTGGTCATGGTGAACCGTAACAACGGCAACTGTCAAGCATCAGCCGGTCGGGTTGAAATGCAATTTAACTGCAGCGAGACCCCTAAGCAGCAGCAGCAACAGCAACAGCAACAGCAACAGCAACAACAACAACAGCAATAACAAGTGTAGCTAACACGTGCGTGGGAGCTGCGACTTCGGCCAGAGTCTAATTAAGGCTTAATGCACACACACACACACACACACACACAGAGGGACAACCTGCTAGCGCGTCAACAGCTGCTGCTGCTGTTGCCATCTCGCTCGCTCGAACCGAGCTGCATGTGCATGTTCTTTTTTTTTTGGCATCTAAGTGTGTTTACGTAGATTTATGTAAATTAGCTGCTGGCCCTGCAACATCCTTAGCCAGGCGCAAATGATTCCCAGAAGGCAGCAGCAGCAGCAGCAGAGGACGGCACAGGAGCAGGAGCAGGAGGCTTGCAGCAGCAGCAGCAGCGGCGGCAGCGGCGGCAGCGGCAACTCTTTCGCTTTCGCCTTTGCCGCATTTCATTCACGTGAAAAGTGAATTTTATTTAATTTACATACACACAACACAAACTGAACAAAGCATAAATAAATATATACATATAGTATATATAGTGTGTATGTGTGTGTGTGTGTGCATAGCTGGAAAGGAATGCGCATTGCTTTATGACATTGTTGTAAACCCTTTTAGCACACACACACACACACAAAGAGACAGCGGCATGCGCAGCTCCTTTGCCTACTTCAAATAGCGGCCAGAGACGAACAGACGGACGGACGGGTGGACGGACCGACTGAGCCTGACCACCCTGGCCACTGTTGATTTTTCGCGGTCTAATAAAAACTGGTCATAGGCAAAAAGGTTTTGGGCCAGCCAAAGAGTTGAGGCTAGCGCAAAAGGCTTGTGTGTGTGTGTGTGTGTGTGTTAAATGCTAAGAAAAATCAGTGCATTTTTCCATGGAAATCACGAAAACCTTTTGGTTTTTCACCGCCATCCGCTATAGCCCAACGGCGGCCAAACCCTTTGTGCCCAACCAAAGGGTGTGAGTATTTGCATATCAATGCCGTTCGTAGCACGTCACAACAGCAGCAGCAGCAGCGGCAGAGGCAGCGGCAGAGGCAGCGGCAGCGGCAGAGGCAGCGAAAGCTCCACGAATTCGTCCATAAAAATAAACGAAATGCCACAAATGTTTATAATTCAATAATTCATATTTCATAGTACATAATATAATATACATACATACATATATATACCTATACATATACATATATATGTATATAAACAATTTGTTGTTTTGAGCGATTCCATAAAATTTCATAAAATTCTACAACTATTAAAAATACATATATAAATATCTTATTTTAGTTGTTGATATATTTTAAGTAAATACTCTTAAAAAAAAAAAAAAAAAAAAAAAATTAGCTTAGTCAACTTCAAAGTAACAGTTCTTCGTGAATTTTAAGGTAAAACAGCCTTCAGAACAATTTCCAGCAAAAGCGCAAGAACTTTCAACTAGAATTCTATCAAGTTTTCTTTAAGTAAATATACTAATATGTGTATGTGTGTGTGTGTGAGTGTGTATGTTGCATGTATGCATGTATCTGTATGTATGTGTGTGTGTTGTATATACATAATGGTATTCAATTTGGTATTGGCATCGAGCAACCCTCGCATGGCTGCGTCGGGGGCTGTGGGGGGGCGTGGTGGTTGTGTCTGGTGCCACTAGCCAAAAGGCAGCCGATAGCAGCGATCAGGCCACCTGGCCAGAGCCAAAGTTTAAGCAAACAAAAGCAAAAAAAAAAAAAAAATACAAAAATAATAATAGTAAAAAATATACAAAAATAAAAAAATTAATACAAAAATAAACAAAAATATATATGTATGTATTGATAAGCTATCGGCCAATGACGCAAAGATAAAAGAAAACGCTCTATAGTTAAGTAGCAGCAAGAGGGAGAGAGAGAGAGAGAGCAAAAATATTATTTATACATATACATATATATTTATATATAAGATAATGATAATAGAGCGCAGCAAAGTTTATTTGAGGCATACCAAATATTTAGGGCTTTACAAGGCGGCCCGAACTGAGAGCGAATGGCCAGAAGGAAGCTGCATCCGATGTTGTGATGTTGATGGATATTGAATGTGGATGTCGGATGTCGGATGTCGGATGTCGGATGTCAGATGTCGTTGGGGGTGTGTACTGGGTATGCTGGATGCAGCATGCTGTGGATGATGCCCTGGTCTCTATCGCTCCTGTCATGGGATGATGCGCGCCTGTGCGCTATAAACAGTCAACAACTCTGAGGTAGATGCGATGCTCGCTGGCGAGCAGCGCGAACTTGGCATCGAAACTGATGCGGTCCACGGTGCGGTCACAGAACTCGACGCGATGCTGGCGCAGAAAGTAGATGAGGCCGAGCTTAATCTGCAGCATGCCAATGTGCATGCCAATGCAGTTGTGTGGCCCGGCGCCGAAGGGCAGATACGACATGGGCGTTTGCTTCGGTTTATTCTCGGCACTGAAGCGCTCCGGATCGAAGCGTTCCGGCTCCGGCCAGTACTGACAAGAGAACAGGAGAACAAAGACATCGTGTTAGTGCGGTACACAGTGGTAATTGGCATGGTCAGTGTCTCACCTGCGGATCGTGGTGTATGGCCAGATTGGAGATGAACACGGGCATGCCGCGCCGGGCATAGCACTCGGCGTGCGGGCGTAGTGAGTAGAAGCGCTTCTTGTTGATCGGCGAGCATTCGCGCTCCAGCAGCGGCACAATTGGATACTTGCGCAGCGTCTCCTCCACCACCATCTCCAGATACCGCATGCCGCCAATCAGCTCATAGCTCAGTCCCGGCCCGCCCCCATGGGCCGCGGCCAGGGCGAACGTGTGCCGTATCTCGCGCCGCAGCCGCTCCTGCATTAGCGGCTGCTTGGCCAGCTCGTATAGGGCGAAGGACATGGTTGAGGAACATGTCTCGATGCCGGCCACCTCGAAGGTGGCCGCCTGGGCGGCCAGAAAGTCCTGATGGTGCGTAAAGTGCGTCTTGTCCTGCTGTAGATCGGCCTCCTTCTTGAGGGTTAGCAGCATTTCGATGAGATCATTGCGCAGATCGCCGCCTCGTTCGCGCTCCTCGATCACCAATTGGATGACGCGGCGCAGGAACTCCGAGTGCGTCTCCGTGAACAGCTTCGACCGCATCAGCGGCACCAGCTTCGGCAGAAAGAATATCACAAAGAAGTCTATTATTCGACGCACATTCGGCTTGAATATGTCCTGACAATGTGAGCCGATTTCAGACTGCGTATTCCTCAGGCTATACGATCTCAATCCAAATGCGATGCTCGCTATCATATCCGTATTGTACAGATCGCACACATCCTTGATGCTAACGATGACACCGCGCGACGCATCGCCGCGTCGCAAATCACGCGTCAATCGCTTCAAATACCACTCCAGATCGCAGCCAATCTAGATAAGAGATTAGAGTGCGGATCGTTAAAATGCGATTAGTTTGGAGTGCAGAGCGAAAGCTTATATTGGGTCTCAGCACTGTGCAACAAGAAAGGAATCGAGAACAGTATCTGCGCAAACAGGGCATGTACAAATTATAT